ATCTTTGGCTATTTGGGGTCTTTTGTTGTTCCATATGAATGTTAGGGTTGTTTTTTCTATTTCTGTGAAGAATGTCATTGGTATTTTTATGGGGATTTCATCAAATCTGTAGATTGTTTTGGGTGGAATGGACATTTTCACAATGTTAACTCTTCCAATCCAGAAGCATGGAATGTCTTTCCTCTTTTTTTGTGTCCTCTTTAATTTCTTTCAGCAGAGATTTGTAGTTCTCATTGTAGTGATCTTTCACCTCCTTGGTTAAATTGATTCCTAGGTATTTTGGGTTTTTGGTGACTATTGTAAATGGGCTTGCTTTCTCTTTCTGCTAGATCATTATTGGAGTATAAAAACACTACTGACTTTTGCATGTTGATTTCATATCCTACAGCTTTACTTAAATCATTTATCAGCTCTAAGAATTTTTTTGGTAGGGTGCTTAGGTTTTTCTATCTATAGGATCATGTCAGCTGCAAACAGGGACAGTTTGACTTCATCTTTTCTAATCTGGATGCCCTTATTTCTTTCTCTTGCCTGATTGCTCTGGCTGGTATTTCCAATATTATGTTAAATGACAGTGGTGAGAGTGGGCATCCTTGTCCTGTTCCCATTCTTAAGGGAAGAGCCTACCCAGGATGATATTGGTGGTGGGCTTATCACATATGGCTTTTATTGTTTTGAGATACTTTCCTTCTAGTTAAATAAATGACTGAGTCTGCATCTATTGAGATAATCATATAGTTTTTGTCCTTGATTTTACTAACATGATGTATCACGTTTACTGACTTGTGTATGTTGAACAAGCCTTGCATTCCTTGATGAATCCCGGTTGATTATGATGTATAATTTTTTGACTGTTGCTGTATTCTTTTTTTTTTTTCCTTTTTTGTCTTTTTTCATGACCAGCAACGGATCGCAACCCTCAGTGTCGCACCCGTACCGGACCGTGACCGGCAACGGGATCACAACCCTCAGTGTTGCGCCCGCACCTCGCTCAGCCAGTGAGCGGCCGGTCTGTATGTGGGATCCGAACCCTCGGCGGGAGTGCCGCCGCGCTCCCAAGTGACGCACTGTAGGAGTGTGCCACCAGGCCGGCCCGACTGTTGCTGTATTCTGGTTGCTAATATTTTGTTGAGGATTTTTTTGTCTATGTTCATCAGAGATAGTGGCCTGTAGTTTTCCTTTTTGTTGTCGTATTTTTGTCTGGTTTGGGTATCAGGGTGACACTGGCCTCATAGAATGAGTTTGTGAGAATGGCCTCTGTTTCAATTTTTTGGAATAGTTTAAAGATAATTGGTATTAATTCCTTTTTAAATGTTTGGTAGAATTCAGCAGTAAAGCCATCCAGTCCCAGACCTTTCTTTATTGGGGGACTGCTGATTACTGCTACAAATTAACTTTCTTGCAGTTCTGGAAGCTGGAAATCATATCAAAGTTTTGGCATGTTTAGTTTCTTCTGAAGCCTCTGTCCTGCATTGCAGATGGCATCTTCTTACTGTGTCCTCACATGGCCTTTCCTCTGTGCACTTGAATCCCTGGTGTCTCTTTCTCTTCTAAGGACTCCAGTCACATTGGATATGGTCCCCACCCTTATGACTTCATTTAATTTTAATTACCTCTTTAAAATGCCTATCTCCATGTACAGTCAACTTGGGAGTTAGGGCTTCAACGTATGGATGGGGGGTGGAGGGTGACACAATTAAGTCCATGAGACTCAGTCATTTATTTAACATGCCCAAGTCTGTCTGAATTCAAAGATAACACTAAGTTCCTGCCCTCATGTAGTTCTCATTCTAACACAAAGTTCCTGCCCCCATGTAGTTCTCTTCTCCCAGAAGTGGGAGAGAGGAAGAGCAATAACAAGTAAAAATACTACAAATTCTGTGAAAAAATTAAAGCATGGCAGGGTGTTTAGGGAATGACTCTAGCAGATGGGGGAAGGTCTCTCTGAGAAGGTGAGACCTGAATGATGAGAACTGGTCTTTACTGTGTAGCTAATCTGTGCAAGGTAATCTTTGCTTGAATTTGCACCTGCCTTAGAAGCCATGTGGAAGCTTGCAGCCACTCTCAGCCTGTGGTGACCACCTTTCCACGCTACTGTACAAGTCTGAGGCTCAGTGTAGTAACTTAGATCTCTCCCACGGTGGCACTTTGGCCCTAAATATTTAAGCTTGTTGTTTAGGTCATAGCTATGGAGGTGTATGTCCTATTGGCTTTCTTGCCACTATGTTCTTTCATGACTCAAAATTCAATGAAAAATAAGAGACAACTTGCCAAACTTGTTTGGGGTTTCTAAACATTCAAGTTTTCCAATTTCCCTTGCCTCCTTGGTATATATTTAAAATGATTATTCATCTTCCCATTTTCAAAAGAGAATTCAGGCAATTTGAACAGAGTAGAGATTATATATTATATATACTAAGCACTTCAGCTTTTTTTTTTTTTTTTTTTTTTTTTGTCTTTTGTCTTTTTCCGTGTCTGGCAATGGATCGCAACCCTCAGTGTTGCCCCCGTACCAGACTGGGGACCGGCAACGGGATTGCAACCCTCGGTGTTGCTCCCGCGCCTCGCTCAGCCAGTGAGCGGGAACCAGTCTGTATGTGGGATCCGAACCCTCGGGCGGGCGCGCCGCCACACTTCCCAAGCGGCGCACTTATCCAGTGCGCCACCAGGCCGGCCCAGCACTTCAGCTTTAATGCAGTTAATAACTCTGCTCATCTTCTTTAAATGTATTTTTGATGTACAGGGCAGAGCAGAGGACTTTCTCAAGAGATATGAGCTTTGTTTCTCCACATATGCTTAAAAACAGCTAAGTATTTTGAGATTATATCTGCTATAAAAATATAGTTGTTCCTCAGCACCTTTGGGAGATTCATTCCAAGTTCCCCTGCAGATACCAAAATTCATGAACACTCAAGTCCCTTATATAAAACGGTGTAGTATTTGCATATAACCTATGCACATCCTCCCATATACTCTAAATCATCTCTAGATGATTACTTATACCTAATGCATTGTAAATGCTTTTTAAGTAGTCATTATTTTTTATTGGTAATTTTTATTGTTGCATTTTCATTTTTTATTGTGTTTTTTAAAAAATATTTTTGATCCACAATTGGTTGAATCCAAGGGTGCAGAACTCATGGATACAGAGGATTGACTGTATATAACAAATTGTTTTAGGCATGATCATTTTAGTATAAATGCTTTATAAATCCTGAGTAATAGCATTTTTTCCTCTATTGGTTTGGCTGGAGTCCATAATGCTAACAAGTGTCTTGAAGGGGAACTCTTTGTTTTCCAACTTACTCATCTCCACTCTGTATGACATGCCACAAAAGCAGTCAGTGGATCTTGACACAGGCAAATAGAAATGACAAATGCATCGGTTTGACCTTAACCTGTGTGCTTTCTATATATAAAAAAAAAAAGTTCTTTTGAACTTTGCAGTTGCCATTTAAACTATGATATGCTGTCAGCATAATGTGTCTAACAGTAAAATAATTCCAGGTCTACCTACTTCTCACAAGTTTATTTTCAAATGTAAAAGCTGTGAAACTTCAAGATATTGTTTCTATTTTCTTATACTAGACAAACTGAATGTTTTTCAGTTTGTCCACCTTTTAGACTGGGTTCTGCCTCATTTTTATACACTACATTTTGTTTTATTTAAAAATGTACATTTGTTTTTCCTTGGCAACACCCTTGAAATGAGATTTCAGCTTGCTATGGCTCCTACTATAGTGATTAAAAGTTCCAGCTTGTCAGTTCCTCACCTGCCATTGGCTAAATTCCAGAAGTTGCCAGAAATAAGTTTTCTCTCTTTAAACTCTTGTAGTACCTTGTACATAACATTCATCTATTGTATGTTATTTTGCGTTATCACTCAAATTATATTTTAAATCTACGAAGTACAGGGAGATTGTTATAAACATCTCTTTATCACCCACCATAATGCCTTATTATAAGATTTTCAATGAATACATTTAATGAATTAAAGATATATTAAAGTAATAATGCAAATACCCTATAATTTAAATATGCAAATGGTGCAGGGCATTCTGCCTGAGTCAGTGGTTACTTAATACAAAGTAATGGTTGCTTTATCACCTGAGAACCTGTGACTACTTGCAAACATTGCTACTAGTTGTAGGTCAGAGGTCATGTTTCTCCCTTTTTTTTTTTTTACCTGCTTACCTTTGCCCTGGGGGAGCTGTATAAAGGCAGAATCATAGAAATAAAACTGGGCACAAGTCTTCATGTCCCTTTTGTAAAGTAGATCATCAGCACCTGTGTTGTGCTGGCACTGTGATCCTGCAATAATTGTCTGTGATTCATTATTTTTATTTTACACACTTCATATTATAATATACTAAAGAGCAAATGATTCTTAATATACAATGCATTTTTACTTTATGAGATGGGAATTGTTACCCCCATTTAACAGATGAGAAAATGGAAACTTACAAAGTAAGAAAATTCCTAACGATTATATGGCTAGTTAAGTGGCAGAGCCTGGATATAAACCTATGTGTTCTTGGCTCTAAATTCATTTGTTGTTCCTATGACCCACTGCTGTCCACCCTACTAATGATGTAAATGTCTGAAACCATGACTAAAAAGTTATGTAAATGTTCTTGAGATATCTAGTGGGGAAAGTATAACCCTGTTATAACTAAATAATATTCTATAAATTCTGGAATATGTTTTATTACTTCTCATTAACAATGCATTCTCCCACATCTCGAAAACTTGAGATGTCTGTAATTCTAGTATAGAGACTAGAAATTATTTTATTGCTACCCTGAGTATAATCAGTGCTGATTTTAATGAACTAGCAGTTCTGTGGAGAGAAAAATAAAATGATACCCTCAGTTTAAGGGCAAGGTCATAGGGAGCAATTTATTATATGTGTAAATAAAATTTTAGGTAATTATTATAAAGCTATATATTGTTCACAAGTTTTAAGTGAATTTTTATATTTGTATCGTGACCTATCATAGAATGAATACCTAAATGAAGATGTTGATGCTAGAGTTATCGAATACGAAGATAACCGGCCTCTCTTAGATATGTTTCTGCAGAAGCCAATGGGTTTACTGTCCCTACTAGATGAAGAAAGTAAATTTCCCAAGGCCACTGACCAGACTCTTGTAGGTGAGTTTTAAATCCAGTATGTCTGCATGGTTTTATGAATACAGTAATGTACTTCTGAATAATTTTTTTAATTGTTTTAAATTATCTGGGAGAAAATAGCTGTCACAAAGCCTGCGTATTTGACTTTTAAAAAGAGGCTTTGAATATAATACCTGGACCACTAAATGTTTATAATAGGGTGAAATATTTAGTGATGAACTAAACAAGTTTGGACATTAGACTTCTTACTTTGTGATGGAGCCCCAACCATAGACTCTTAGTTAGAAATAACCTTAGAAATTACCCAACCTAAAGTTAGAAATCAGTGGGCAGAGCAGAAGGACAGCTCTTGAATTTGAAAAGAGTTAACTAACAAGCAGGAAATAAATTAATCTGTGATGTTCTAGTCATTTATTTAATAGAGTCAAGTAGCCTCAAATACCTTAACAACCTCTAAGTCACAGTACATTAATAAATGTTCATGATAATAATCCTGATCCATCAAAGAAAGATCAAATGTATTCATTTTTTTCTGTTTGAGAAGGCAGAGATGTGTATAATATATATGAGTATCATCCAAGATCAAATGGTAGAATAGATGGTCCCCCAGCATAACTCTCCCCCACAACTGACCAATCTGCAACTATTAAAAAGCAAAGACTGACATTCTGGGACCACTGGAGCTTAGGGGGAGGGGAGGAGTTCATGAAAATGGGAGAAGCCATGGTGGGAGGAAGAGGAAACTGCTCCAACTGTTTCAAGCCCCAGCCACTTCAGGGCCAGCCCCGTGAAAGGTGGGAAGAAGCTGCAACACATGGAGCAGGAGGCAGCAGAAGCCTCAGCTGAGCCCTTTGTGTGAAGTTGCCTGGAATCTGCAGGGGAGAAGAGGGCCTCCGATCACACCATACAAAGACCCTAGCTGAGGAGGCCATTGAGAGTGTTTCCATGGACCCACATAGGAGTGAGGATCTATGGCCCACAGAAAGGAGGCACCCAGAGGATGGTGAGTCATTGTGAGGGCCTTGTGCACAGCCCACCATGGGAAGGGATTGGAGAGTTTGGGAGGGAAGCTGGCTGGGAAAACACTGGGGTGCAGAGTGGGCAACTGATCTGCCTTCCAATCAGCACAGACCCAGTCAGTGGAGACTGGTCAAGGTGATAGAACTGCAGGGATACAGTTTGCTGGAAGACCTCCCAAGCCAGAATTTCCACACAGCCCAGGTGTAACTGACCACACAAGATCCAGAAATGATTAAAAGGCTTATGAGACATTCTAAAGACAAATACAAGAAATTAAAATACAATGCTATAGAAAACCACTCCATCACAAAGGAAGACAGTAAGATTGGAAAAAAGGAAAAACAGATCAACAAAACAACCAGGCAAAAAAGGAACAAAACAGCAGTAACAAGTCCCTATATATCAATAATAACTCTAAATGTAAATGGATAAAATGCCTCAATTAAAAGCACTGAGGGGCTCAATGGATTATAAAACAAGAACCAAAAATATGCTGCCTACAGGAAACTCACTTCACCTATAAAGACACACACTGTCTGAAAGTGAAGGGATGGAAAAAGATATTTCATGCAAGTGGAAACCAAAAAAGAGCAAGAGTAGCTATATTTACATCAGATAAAATAGACTTCAAGACAAGGAAAATAAAAAAAGATAAGATCATTATATAATGATAAAGGGATCAATATAAGAACAAGAGGATATAACAATTCTAAATATATATGCCTCCAAACTCCAGAGCACCCAGTTATATATCGGATCTAATGGGAGAAGTAGACTCCAACACAATAATAGCTGGGGACTTTAACACCCCCACTTTCACCAAAGGACAGATCATCCAGACAGAAAATTAACCAGAAAACATCCAAATTAATCTCTACTCTAGACCAATTGGACCTAACAGACATATATAAAGAACATTTCATCCAACAGCTACAGAATACACATTCTTCTGAGCAGCACATGGAATATTCTCTAGAATTGGCCATACATTAGGTCACAAAACAAGTCTCAATAAATTTCTAAAAATTGAAATCATATCAACTATCTTGTCCAACCATAATGAAATAAAACTAGAAATCAACAACAAAAAGGACACTAGAAACCATACAAATACATAGAAATTAAACAGCATGGTCCTAAAAGATGAATGGTTCAAAGAAGAAATCAAAAGGGAAATTTAAAAATTCCTGAAGAAAAATGAAAATGAAAACACAACATACCAGAACCTATGGGATACAGCAAAAGAATTTCTAAGAGGAAATTTTATAGCAATAAATGCCTACATCATAAAAGAAGAAAGTCTTCAAATAAACTGCCTAACATTATACCTCAAGGAGCTTAAAAAAAAAAAGGAGCAAACCAAACCCAAAATCAGCAGGAGAGAAATAACAAAGATCAAGCAGAAATAATATTAGAGATTTAAAAAACAATACAAAAGACTGATGAGACAAAGAGCTGGTTTTTCAAAAAGATAAAATTGATAAATTCTTAGCTAGACTATAAGAAGAAAAAAGAGAGAAAACTCAAATAAAATCAGAAATGAAAATGGAAACATTACGACTGATATCACAACAATACAAAGGATCATGAGAAAACACTGCAAACAACTGTATGCAAACAAACTGGAAAACCTAGAAGAAAACCTAGAAGAAAACCTAGACACATACAACTTCCCAAGGTTCATCATGAAGAGCTAGAAAATCTAAACAGACCAATAGCAAATAATGAGAGTGTAGCAGTAATAAAAAGTTTCCCAACAAAGAAAACCGCAGGACCAGACGGCTTCATTGCCAAATTTTACTAAACATTGAAGAACTAGTGCCAGTTGTTCTCAATCACTTCCAAAAAATTGAAAAGGATGGAATACTTCCAAATTCATTCTGTGAGGCCAACATTAACCTCATACCAAAACCAGAAAAGACACAACAAAAAAATGAAAACTACAGACCAGTATCCCTAATGAACATAGATGTGAAGATCCTCAATAAAATACTAGCAAACAGAACCCAATGATACATTAAAAAGATCATTCACTGTGATCAAGTGGGATTTATCCCAAGGATGCAGGGATTTTTCAACATATGCAAATCAATAAGCATGACAATACAGAATGATCTCACTAATATGTGGAATCTAAAAAACAAACAAAAAACTGGTTTTCATATATGTAGAGAGTAGATTAATGGTTACCAGAGGCCGGGGGAAAGTGGGGGCAAGGGTGGGGAGAAGTGGTGGACTAACGGGTATAAACTATGCCCTCTACCCTAAGTGAATCATTATGCCGTATATGCATGTATATACTAAAACAACACAATGTACTCCACAAGTATGTAAAAGTAAATGTTAAATTTTTTTAAAAGAGCAAATATATATATATATATATATATATGTGCAAGCAATGCATTTATTCCTGTGTGCAAAAACACATTGTACAAGTGCTATTCAAATAAAAGTTAATTTTAAAGTTAAAAGAAAGAATATCATCCAAAATGGTTAAAATGAAAATGCTCTACTCTTTGAATTAAAAAAGAAAAAAACTTTAGAGTTTTCAGCTATCTGGAAATAATCATTGTTTAATGTGGGATACCGTATTTCTTGATGGTAGAAGATATTCTTTATAAGTACACAGAAAATTTAGATGTACATTTTTCTCTCATTTACTGTTGGTGATATGCAGAGCCTGTTTCGTACCATTAAGTCTATGGTGTTTCTACCTTCTAACCCCATTGATTGGCTTATTCTGTCCTCCAACTGTACAGTTCTAGGTGGAAATAAAAATAACCCCAAGGTCGTGGGGAAAGTCATTTCATAGCAATCAATTGATTTTTATATCAAAATTTTCCTTCTAGGACATAGAATAACAAGTTCTCTGAAGGTAGTAAAATTGTTATAGAAATTTAAATACCTTTATGATCCTATCGTGCTTCTTTTGTAATCAATAATAATCTATAGCTCCTCAAATAGAAAAGAGCCAAGATACCAAATGTTTAGGTTCATGGCTTGGCATCAAACTGTGTTTCACAAACCTCTTTGGCCAATCTCATGTAGTTCCTGTAAGGTAGCAGAGGAAGGAGATGCTAGCCGGGCAAAGAATGGAAAAAGATTTTATTGGCAAGAGGCAAGCAGACCTGCCTGGCTGAGCTGAAAAATGGCATCCGTGCCGGGAGGCAGTTGGGTGTCTTCTTTTACAGGGTTAAGATTACCATCTGGCCTAACTGAGGAAAACGGTTGCCATGTTCCACCCCGGGTACAGCCTGCTCATGGGAACAGAGACTCAGAGAAACGAAACTTAGAGAAATGAAACTGAAGAGCAGGGACTTTCTAAAAGTCAGCCTCTCAGTTCAAGAGACTTAACACTTTCCATACCAATGATTCTCAAAATGCGGTCCCTAGACCAGGAACATCAGCATCACCTGAGAACGTACTAGAAATGTGGATTCTAGAATCTCACCCCAGACCTGCTGAGTCAGAAACTCTGAGGGTAGAGCCCAGCAACCTGTGTTTTAACAGAGACACCTCTAGGTATCTCTGATGCGTGATAAGGTTTGAAAACTTGTGCTCTAAGTCATAATGGTATGGTAAAAATTCATGATCATGAACTTTGCTTTACCGCTTATAACTTATATTCCAAATCTGCATATATTAGCTATATCAAACTTTCTGTCTTTGTTCACTACACATTGTCTTCTTATGGTGACAGAAATGATTCTGACAATCAATATTTTTTATGAATCTCTTGCTTGCTTGATATTGGAGTTCAATTTTTTTTTCTACAGAAAAATTTGAAGTTCACCTGAAATCACAGTACTTCTGGAGACCCAAAAGAATGGAACTTAGTTTTGGAATTCACCATTATGCAGGAAAGGTAAGATCTATTAGGAATTGCAACTGTTTATTTTGGCCTTTTATTGAATAATAAGAATAGACATGAAAATTATGGCCCAAATACTTATAGATGGTTATAATGAGATAGTCATTTGTGTCTGTCCCCATCTGGCCCTAATTCTGCTCTCCAGCATCCTACTCTTTCCCGTCCTTTGCTAGCCACTCACAATGGACATCACTCCCACTCCAAACTTTTATTATCTATCCTGAAAAAGTTAAAAAAAAAATCCTTCTCTTAGTTCAGCAAATATAAGGTTATAGTTTTTCTAGAGGAATTCTTATTAAGAAACTAAAGAAAAAGAAGAAAGAAAAGAAAGAAACAAGACTTAAAGAATTCTTCATTCTGATCATAAGATCTGGCTTTGGGTGAGATTAGCTGGCAATGGTTGCTTATTTATTTCCTTCTTTTAATAATACCTGGGGACCTTTTACATAAACTGCCTTTTTCTTTTTTTTTCTTTTTGTAATGGTTATGAATATTCATGAGATACAAATCCCATGAATATTCATGAGATTGTCACCCCTCATGCTCATGATGTGAGGGCCAGATTCACACTGGCAGCATACCCATTACCACAAACTGCATTTGCATCCCATGTTCCCCACCCAATTATCCCCAGCCTCCCTCTCCATCCCCCTTTTCCCCCCACACCACTTTGTGAGAACAAGAAATGTTCTCTCCCTCTGCAAGTCCAACACACTACTGTGGTCTTTTTTTCTTTCCTTCCTTCTTAGCTCCCACATATGAGTGAGTACATGTGGTATTTATCTCTCTGTGTTTTGCTTATTTCACTCAACGTAAGTTTCTCTAGGTTCATCCATGTTGTTGCAAATGGGAGAATTTCATTCTTTGTTATGGCAGAGTAGTATTCCATGGTGTATATATACCACAGTTTCCTTATCCAGTCATCCATCAATGGACATTTAGTTTGGTTCCGTGTCTTGGCTATTGTAAACAGAGCTATGATGAACATGGGAATGCAGGTATCCCATGATGATTTCTATTCCTCTGGGTATATACCCAGAAGTAGGATTGCTGGATTGTATGGAAGATCTATCTGTAGTTGTTTGAGAAACCTCCATACTGTTTTCCATAGTGGTTGTACTAATTTACAATCCCACCAACAGTGTAGGAGTGTTCCCTTTTCTCCACACAGTCGCCAACATTTGTTATTCACCGTCCTTTTGATTATAGCCAGTCTAACTGGGGTGAGGTGGTATCTCAGTGTAGTTTTAATTTGCATTTCCCTGATGACTAGTGATGTTGAGCATTTTTTCATATACCTGTTGGCCATTTGCATGTCTTCCTTTGAAAAATGTCTATTCAGCTCCTTTGCCCATTTCTTAATTGTGTTATTTGTATTTTTACTGTATAATTGCTTGAGTTCCTTGTATATTTGGATATTAATCCCTTGTCGGATGCATAGTTAGCAAAAATTTTCTCCCACTCTGTAGGTTGTTGTTTCACTCTGTTGATTGTTTCCCTTGCTGTGTAACTTTAGATGCTTTTCTCTCTATTTCAGACTTTGTCCCTCTTCCCTCCTAACAAGAGAAGGTACCATTATAGCCAGTTGTTTCTACCAACTCTTTTAATCTGTTCAGGCTGCTATAACAAAAAATACCACAGGCTTGGGTATCTTAAACAACCAAAATTTATCTTCTTACAGTTATGGAGGCTGAAAGTCCAAGATCAAGGCGCCCCTAGCAGAGTTAGCAACTGGTGAAGCCTCTCATCCTGGCTTGTAGATGGTCACCTTCTCAATGTGTTCTCACATGGCCGTTTCTCTATGCACCTGGGGAAAGAGAGAGAGTGTTTCTTCCTCTTCTTATAAGGACACAAGTCCTATTGGACTAGGCCCCATTCTTATGACCTCAGTTAACCTTGATTACAACCCTAAAGATCCTATCTTCGAATACAGTCACAGTTGGGGTTAGGTCTTCAACATCTGAATTTTGGAAGGACACAATTCAATCCATAACAACCACCATATTGAATCATCCTACAGAAATCTTTGGATTGCACTGATCTTTAAAAATTCTTAAAATTATTTAGAAGTGCCAGAAACACAAATACCCACAGTATATTTTGACCATGCTACTACAGAGATAAAAATCTATCATGGCCAACTCAATACAGGTAAATCAATTTATCACAGAAATAGGAATGCTGTGGTGTTGGTCCAGTGTGCTTCCTTCATGCTGCCCTCACTCTTCTGAGAAAAGAAGCACACCAAATTAATAAATAATAGCAATAAAACCTCTTTTTTCATTTCAGCCCAATTAAAATCAGTGAGACACAAATTTTCCTCTAAGATGCACTGTAAACCTGGAGAAGTTCTATTTTCCAACTAAACTCTAAGGGACTACCTTTGAAAATCTCTGTGTCCCTGTTGCTCAGCAAAGAGTAAGCTCTCAATAAATATCTATTGATGACAATGATGATGATGACGACGACAACAGTGACACTGATTGTGATAATTATGACAGCGTACTTTTTCAACAGGTCCTCTACAGTGCAAGTGGGTTCTTAGCTAAAAATAGAGACACTCTTCCAACTGATATTGTACTACTTTTGAGGTCATCTGAAAACAGTGTAATTCGGCAACTAGTCAACCACCCTCTGACAAAAACAGGTAAGGCAATATCTTTTAACTGAAAAAGTTTCTCAGGCCCATCAAGTAGTTTTTGGCTCTGTGATTTTCATGAATATAATCCTTAATTTTTCATGTTAGTTTGTTTTCAACTCACTAAATATTTATTTATTAATATTCTCTGTCCCAGATCATCTGAAGAAAATACAAAAATGAATATTAAAAAGCTAGGTTTTCACTAAAGATAAGCATTTGAAGCACTCACCCAGAAAATATACATCCTTGCATTTGCTTTAAATACAAAAAATACATAATTTGAGGTGTTTTTCTTTACTGGAGTTTAAGATTGTTCTCTGCATTTCTTTTTTTATAGTTTTATTGAGGTATAACTGAAGTACAAAAAATGGCACATATTTTAAAAGTAAAATTTGATGAGTTTTTGACAAATGTAAACACCTGTAAATTAACAGTGAACATATTCATTACCCCCAAATGGTGTTTCTTCATGATCCTTTGTAATCCATCCCTCCACGCCTCTCTGCTCCAGCCAATTGTTCTTGCACCATTTGTTGAAAAGATTGTTCTTTTCCCCATTGAATTGCTTTGACACCCCTGTTGAAAATTAATTGACTAATGTATAGTTCTATTTCTAGACTCTTTATTGTGTCATTGATATTTATCTTTGTTTATGTCAATACCACACATATTGACTCTTGTGGCTTTATGAAAAATCTTGAAATTAGGCAGTATAAGTTAACCTTTGTTCTTCTTTTTCAGACTAGTTTAGATAATTATAATATGTTTGCTTTTGCATATAAATTTTAAAATGAGCTTGTCAATTTCTATCAATAATCCTGATGTGATTTTGATTGGGATGCATTGAAACTATAGATCAATTTTGAGAGAATCGATATCTTCCCGATATTAAATCTTTCAGTTCATGAGCATATATAGCTCTCCATTTATTTTTCTTCTTTAATTTCTCTCAGCAATAGTTTTCAGTGTAAAAATCTTGCACATCTTTTGTCAAATTATCTGCTAGTGTATCACATTTTTTATGAATGGTAATTTTTAACTCAAATTCTGTTTGTCACTAGTAAAGTAAAAAAAAAAAACAAAACTATTTTTGTATGTTGATCTTTTGCCCTGCAACCTTGCCAAACTCATCCATTAGAGTAGATTTTTTGTAAACTTCATAGAATTTTCTACATAAATGGCCATGCCATCTGTGAAAAGTTTTGCTCTTTCTTTTTCAATGTGTTTACTTTTTACTTTTTCTTCTTGCTTAATTGCCCTGGCTAGAATCACCAATGTAATGTTGAGTAAATGGCAAGAGTGAACATTCCTGAGGGTTGGATGGACACTTAGGTTGATTCCATATCTCTTGGCTCAATAGTGCTGCATCTGTTAAGATGGTGAGAGTGACTGATTTTTTAATAATTCCTGGGTAAAACTTCACATTGGCATGATGCATTGTACTTCTTATGTATTGCTGGATTCAATTTGCTAAAGTTTTGTTAAGAATTTTTACATTTATATTAATGAGGGATATTGGACTGTAGTTTTCTTTTCTTACACCTTTTTTTCTTTTCCTGATTTTGGAACCAGAGTAATGCTGGCCCTAAAGAATGAACTGAGAATTATTACCTCTTCTTCAATTTTCAGGAAAAGTAAAATGAGTATTATTTCTTACTAAATTGCATTGTAGAATTCACCAATGAAGCCATCTGGGCCTGAGGGTTGTTTGTGAGGTTTTTAGCTACAAATTCAATTTCTTTAATAAATATAAGGCTATTTAAGTTATCCAGTTTTTTGAATGAGCTTTGATTAGTTGTGTATTTTAAGAAATTTGTCTATTGATATTCAATGCTGTACCTCACAGATATGTACAATCAATTAGATTTCAAAAAAATAAAATTAAATAATGTTTCTATTAAAGAAATAAACTTGTCTAGTTCATCTATATAGTCAAATTAATTGACATAAATTGACTATAATATTTCCTTTCTATCCTTTTAATATCTGTAGATCCTGAAGTTGTGTCAGCTCTCTCTTTCCTGATACTGGTAATTTGCATCTTTTCACATTTTATTCTTGATAGGTTTTCTAGAGATTTATCAGTTTTATTGATCTTCTCAAAAAAACAGCTCATGGTTTTACTGACTTTCTCTGTTGGTTTTGTTTTCTATTTCATTGGTTCCTTTCTTTTGCTTACTTTATGTTTTGCCATCTTTTTCTAATTCCTAAGGTAAAAACTTAGATCAATGACTTAAGAACACATTTTTTTTATAATATTGGCATTACTATGGGTTACTTACAAGAGTTGAATTTCCCAGATATATTTGGATTTTCCAGATATCTTTTTGTTATGGATTTCTAATTTAATTCCATAGTGCTCAGAGAGCATACTTTGTATGATTTAATCCACTTGAATTTATTGAGATATACTTTGGGGCCCATTTTATGGTCTGTCTTGTTTTATTTGTACTTGAAAATAGTTTTTATTCTGCCATTGTTGGGTGGAGTGTCCTGTGAATGTAATTAGGCCAACTTGGTTGAGAGTATTAGTCAAGACTTTTATTCTCTTACTAGTTTTCTCATTCCTGGTTCTATCAATTACTGAGAGAAGGCTTTTGAAATATCTGACTATAATTATCAATTTGTCTATTTTTCCTTTCATTTCTATCGATTTTTGCTCATGTATTTTTAAGCTCTACCTTTAGGTGTATAAACATTTAGAATTGTTATATCCTCTTATTGCAGTATTGTGAAATGACCCTTTTTATCCCTGGCAGTATTCTTTCTTATGAATCTACTTCACCAGATATTATAATATACAGACTCCAGCTTTCTTATAATTGGTGGTTGAATGGTGTATCTTTTTCTATATTTTTAATTTTAACTTATTTTTGTCTTTATATTTAAAGTAGATGTTTTGTAAACAGCACGTAGTTGGGTCTTGCTTTCTAAAATCCAATCTGACAATCTCTGCCTTTTTATTGGGGTGGCAAACTTATTTACATTTAATGTGATTAATAATATGGCTGGGCCAGGGCTGGCCCGGTGGCGCACTGCTACAGTGCGCCGCTTGGGAGCGTGGAGGCGCTCCCGCCGAGGGTTCGGATCCCACATACAGACCGGTTCCCGCTCACTGGCTGAGTGAGGTGCGGGCGCAACGCTGAGGGTTGCGATCCTGTTGCCCGTCCCGGTCCGGTACGGGCGCGACACTGAGGGTTGCGATCCATTGCCGGACACAAAAAAAGACAAAAGACAAAAAAAAAAAAAAATAGTATGGCTGGGTTTCACTTTTACCAACTTGGAATGTTTTCTATTGGTTACATCTGTTCATTTTCCCAGGCTCCATCTGAGTTTTCCCTCCCTTCCTTGCAGGATGAAGCTCTTCCAGACAGAAAACTTGCTTAATCATAGGGCTCACTGCATTTGTTTCCCCTCTCCGGGATCAGTGTCCTGCATTGTTTGATGCACCATGTATGAAAACTTTTTTCATGTATTTTGTTGGTTAATGTGGGAAGGTTAATCTATTCTATATTATTTTAAATTGTCCAGAAGCAAAAGTCTTTAGTTTTGATTTTAACAATTGTCATCCCTTTCCATATCTACCAACAGCATATATGCATCTAACTTTATGTTTTTCACCCTTATATAATATACAACCAGGCTCTAAATATTATGTCATGTCTACTGATTATCAGCAGAACAGTGCCTGGTTGGTCAGGAAGAAAAGAACTTAACATTCAAAAGTGTTTTAGTAAGCTCAGAACCTCAGATATATCAAAGACATTTGGGTTTTATATTCACCCATATGTGCAAACATATAATGATAATTATGGGTAATTTGTATATAAATTGCAATGTGTTAGACACTGTTAAGTATTCACATGTACTGTAATAACAACACTGTGAGGAGGTACTACTGTTTTACAAATAAGTTAGTGAGGCTTGGAAATATTCAGTAGATTTTCCAAAATTACCCCACTGGGAAGTGTTAGAAGTGAGTTCAAAGTTCCAGTTTCTTCAGTTCTATATTATGCTGCCTCCAAAATTGTAAAATAACTATGGCCCTCTGAATATATAACTTCAAATATGAAATATAGTCTGGCCATTGTTGCAGGAAAATGTACCACAGTTCCCTGCAGCTCACATCTCTAGTTTAGTTTATCACAGATTTGTTCATCCAGTCAACTGTAAAAGCAAAGTGGGTATATTTTCTGAAATTAAGATCTATGCTAATTTTAGTTCCTGCTGATCTGTATAGATGAATTTTTAAAAGACTTTTCATTTATTTTGTCATTAAGTAGTGTGATACTAGTATATAAATTTTGTTAAAGTGAAATTATTAGTCCTTTATTTATTTTTCTCTAGTCTTTTAGTTTTCAGATAAAAGTAAAATTTTCATTATTTGGTTAATATTAAGTAATAGTATCTATTAAGTAATGGGTTTAGCCTAATTAATGTGCTCCTAGCACATTAATTTATATGTTTATCATGCTTCTAAGAAATCTCCAAGTCTGTGGTAATTTTTTTTGCAATTAAACTTTTTATCTAAAACTTTCTTGGGTAATCGTAATAAACTTAAAATTTTTTTAAAAATTAAAAGGACAATAACAAAAGTCCTAAAGATGAGGATGTCTGTATTAGGGTTCTCCAGAGAGACAGAACCAATAGAATATATATAGATAGATTAGGAGAATTGGTTCACACAATTACAAAAGCTGAGAAGTTCCACTACAGGCTCTCCGCAAGCTGGAGACCCTGAGATGCTGGTAGCATGGCTCAGTCCAAGTCCAAAGGCCTCAGAACCAGATGGCATAACTCTCAGTCTGAGGCCAAAAGCCTAAGAACCCGGGGAGTCACTGGTGTAAGCCCTGGAGTTGACAAGAGAGGAAGAGTGTATCCCAGCTCCACCAGATACATTTGCCTTTTTTCTGTTTTTATTCTCTCCAGTCCCCTAGCAGATTGGATGGTGCCTTCCTATCCACTGAAGGCAGATCTTCCCCACCTGGTCCACACAGACTCACATGCTAATCTCCTCTGGAAACACCCTTGTACACACACCCAAAAATAATGCTTTACCAGGTTTCTAGATATTCTTTAGTCAAGTTGACACCTAAAATTAACTATCACAGTGCCTCTAGAAGGTCATCTGTTACTGTCTCCCTCTCTGCTGTAGTCAATATATTTCACATTTGGAAAGAGAACAGTTCAGTGTGCAGTTTCAGCCCAGCGTGAAAGCCACCACACATACCCGTCTTGGCTCTTTTCCTGGAGTAACGAGGGAAGGAGAAAGGGAGAACAGCAGAGGTGCTGCCAGGTACATCCCAGGCAGGATTCCTTTCTGCACCATCATCTAGGGGCCAGCCTTTTGCACCACAAAGAATGACAAAGATTTTACAAAAAACATGTAGTCTCTAATTACTGCCTAAGAGAAGGAAATAATCTTTCTGAAATGATACTAAGTTTTGGAGGTATTTTGAACATTACTATTAGGATGATAAACTCTTAGATTGTGGGTTGGTTGATTTATTTTGCTTCATGGGGGGCAGGAGAATAGTAAAAGTGAACTATATTTCCAAAAGTGGACCTACCATTTGCAAGACATATTATCACAGTTCACCCAAATTCTGTGAGGTAGGCACCATTATTCCCATTTTATGGACTCAAACTGCAGGTCACAGACAAAGAAAATGACCAAAGAGTAATACAATTTCAGTACTACAACTGGGATTCAAACCTAAGTCTTTCTGGCTCCCAAGACCATAATTTTCTCACTGCCTTGGATTGTGTACATTTTATAGCCCCTGGTACAAAGCACATATTTTTGAATGTTGGATTGAAAATGGTCATTGCCCTCAACTGTACTTATTTGTTTATGAGCACCTCATGTGAATTAATGATCCATATGACTTTTAAGGCCTATTGTAAAGTTTAGTCTGGGTTAAAGAAAATCTCAGATGCCATTTAACACACACCAAAAAAACAAGAAGCAGGTCGCTACCTTCACCATAATCACCTCATATCTTCTAGCAATTGAAAGGAAATCCGTCACTCTACCTTTTCTATTTTCCAAGCTGGAGGGTTTTTTCTGAATTTAAAATCTGTTGTAAATTTTCACATATTATTATTTTATCCCCAAGTTTCCCAATAGTTAACCAAGCATGTGAATATGAATATTGTGGGATCAACAGTGCTTGTTTTAACATTTAAGTAAATGGGAAAATCACGTAGCCATTAAGAATTCTACAGAGTATATTAATTTTATCTACATTCCCATAGGTAATCTGCTACATTCTAAAACTAAAAATATAATAAACTATCAAATGAGGACTTCAGAAAAATCAATCAACCTGACAAAGGTAAGAAAATGTGTTTTTCATGGCAGCGAATCTGAGAATCTAACCTTTACGATGGCAATAGTTGTGTGCTCTTAAAAGTAAACAGCCTTTCCTTAGTTTTTCTCCCTTTGATCTTTCTTTTCTGCTTAAACAAATATTTATGTTAAGTTAATGTCACTGCTAGTGGCGAAAATAATTATGCATTTCTGATATGTTTTTAACTCTTTTGTAGCTAGTTTTAAATGTTACACTAAGACCAACTAAAAATGTGTTAGCTAGGGTCAGAGATAGTCACATTCTACATAAGATCAGTTAAAATTACAAAGACACTGACAAAACAATTACCTTAAAGAAAGAATTTCATCATTTTTCTGTTCTCTGTATTTGAATGCATAAACTAAGATAACTTGAAAGAAAATGCCACATGCTCCCTGTAGATCATAAAATACACTGGGTACTGAAACATCACTGTCTTCCCTGGTCTTCTTAGGGTGAAACTGGAGAAGCCACACGTCATGCCAGAGAGACAACCAACATGAAAACACAAACAGTTGCATCATATTTTAGGGTAAGATATTAAGTTATAATTTGTTGTGCTTAAGGATGTTATTTATTCTAAATGAGTTGCAGATAAAAAGCTAGTAACAAATATCAGAGTGCCATTAGCAAAAGAGAGTGTTTATTGTATTCCATTTACTATTTGTTAGATACAGGATATGTTAGAGTGTACTATCAAAAATCTGTGGATTGGTTGGTCCGGTACGGGCGCGACACTGAGGGTTGCGATCCGTTGCCGGACACGAAAAAAGACAAAAAGGAAAAAAACAAAATCTGTGGATTGGCTTGCTTTGATATTTTAACCTGTAAAATTATTGTATCTCAGCTCAGTATTAATGGGGGTCTACACCTTGATTAAAATTTGTCCATAGAACCAAGTGCATTTCCACTAGAATAAAATCTAAAATGGTTTTGAATTTGATGCTATGATAACTACTGATTCTGCTTCCCTTTCTTGAACAATTTTTGAATAGACAAAAAATAGGCACAGTTGAGTATCCATCTCCATTTCATATCTCCCTGCATATGCATGAGCTGAAAACCTCAAAAGGAAAATGGAACCCAGTGTAGGATGGGGCAAGAAGAGTCACCAGGGACACACAATAATATGCCAAGGTAGTGTGCTTAGTTTAAGATCAAGGTGACCTCTTCCCTTTGAGAAAGGAAAGAAATGAAGTACTTTATTTTCTCTGTGCTCTGGAGAACTCTAGATAACCCTACCCTTATTGGTTCCAGTTCTTGTTTATCTCTTCTGATAAAAATCATATTAACCAGCCAATGAAGAAAATGCCATTTAAAACTTGGAAATTATCAGTAATATAATTTAATATGGGGAAGGTGGAGGAAACGGGATTACATTTACTATAAGTGTACAGTGAAAATATCCAGTTCCCTAACACAATCATGAAATGCTTTTTAGAATATTTGAATGCTTTTATTAAACATTCTTCAAGTCCTAAGCCCATAACAAACAATGTGTACTTAATCATCTTTGAGTAATGCCTAGTACATTTACGTGCTTAATGTCCTACATTTGCTGCTGATAATTCACTTTACATCAGGAATGCAGTACAGCTGAATCACTGAAAGTACTTACAGCCAGATTATTTTATTTTATTAAGTAAGTTATTCAAGACCATCATCATGCCACGGTTGTTGGCATTAAACACTGTGCTTATGTTTAAACCAGATTAGATCATGAAACCGTTTTAGTCTCTAGGCTGAAGTCAGAAACGATAGAAGATAATTCCCCTCGGTATGTAATGTATTTTTAAAGTTATTTTTCATTCTGCAATGAATGAGTGCAGCATAACACTATGCCTTAGTCCCTTAGAAAAACCAATGCCTAAATTGTAGTTTGCACCTGCTCAGACAGTCAACAGACAAGGACACGTATAGCATCTTTGTATCACCAGTGCCTGGCAGATGTTTGTATGACTAAAGGAACGATGACTCACAGATAAATATAATGAAAGAAGGCTCCAAAGTAGCAGATCCCGGCTGTTGGAAAAGATCACATCTGATTCTCAGTGCCCAAGAGGAAGTCATGCAAATTCAGTGCTTTGTCAGTTGCCCAATTTCAGTTATTTGGTTTACACTGGCTTTGTGACTGTAGGCTTTTACATTTCCAGCACTAAAGTAGATCCAGCCGTCGATAGTTGTGTTCATATGTTACCTTGCCAATAAATTGTGATCCTGGTCTTTGAGATACTGGTTTTTTGGGATTCCACTTTTAGTTGAACCATGATTATCCTAATACGTTATACTTAGTTTTCCAATAATTGGCTATTGTTTTAATAAAGTGTTGGTGTAGAACTGTTTTCATATCAGTGTGATTTAAAATATTCTCCTAAAACAAATAAGAAAATTATCAAACTAGAGCAGATTATGATACTTAAATAGTTATCAGTTTCCTTGTTTTTATGCCTATGTCCTATATATTAAGCTGCATTGAATTCTTTGTCCTTATTTTAAACTAGACTCTAGATTCTGTCAGAGATTAAAGTGTTCACTTTTATACTTTTTATAAAGAGCGAGTTAGACAAGTAAATTAACATTTAAACAGGATTAACCAGGTTGTGTGCCTAAATTTTGTAATTCAGCAAGTTTGCCACAGAGCACATAACTACTTACAAACAAACCAAATCAAAAATGGTCTTATGTGTTAATTCAAGTTGCCTTAAGAGTTTACAGACAACCTTTTAATGGCTAGGTTCCTACATATTGCCTTTACGTAAGTCTGTATGTCTTAAAATATACTATAATTAACATTTTCATTAATACAGATTTTTTCCATATGCTATGACTAATGTGAACATTTGTAACATTCATTTTTCAAATTTTATTCTTGTAGTAAAAAGAAAGACCTGCAAGCTCATAGGTTTTTAAATGATACATTGGGAAATTTATTTTTGTTGCATATTATAGTATTCCCTGATGGATTTGTTATCTAAAATGGTAGTGGGCCAACCTCATTTTGTCCGTTGCATCAAACCAAATAATGAGCGTCAGGCAAGAAAATATGACAAAGAGAAAGTTCTGCTACAGCTTCGCTACACAGGAATTCTGGAAACAGCAAGAATTCGAAAGCTAGGATACTCACATCGGATACTTTTTGCTAATTTTATAAAGCGGTATGTGGATTTCATTTTAAGACTCCATTGTGCAGTTTATATAAAAATGCTTCAGAAAAAGTATAGGAAACAAAATTAGGAGAGAATTATTTATGTGGTCTGTGAGTGAGGGATTTTGTTCTTGCAAATGATTATGTATAGAGAGAAGGTAACTACTAACTGAGTCTGGAAGATTCTGTTATCAGCTAGGAGATCCTCTGTGGTAGCACAGGATACATGCCATAGGCAGTATGATAGAGAGGCCTGAGCTGTACTGAGGAGCTAGAGGATCTGGGTTCTCAGCCTGGCTTTACCACTTGCTATGTGACCATGAACCTCTACCAGTGATCTTCAACTGGGAGAGATTTTGTCCCTCAAAAGATATTTGGCAGGCCGGCCCGGTGTCGCATGCTACAGTGCGCTCCCGCCGAGGGTTCGGATCCCACATACAGACCGGTTCCCGCTCACTGGCTGAGCGAGGTGCGGGAGCAGCACCGAGGGTTGCGATCCTGTTGCCGGTCCCAGTCCGGTACGGGCGCAACACTGAGGGTTGCGATCCGTTGCCAGACACAAAAAAAGACAAAAAGGAAAAAAAAAAAAAGATATTTGGCAATATCTGGAGACATTTGGGGTTGTCAACACCCTAGTTGGGAGTGGGTGGAAGCCCAGGATGCTGTTAAACACCTACTCCACAATGTACAGGACAGCCCCTGTAATAAAATATGATCCACCCCAAAATTTCAATGGTGCTAAGGTTGAGAAACCCTGACATATAGTGAACTTCGTTTTCCTCACCTACTAAATCTGCCATGACTACCTGATAGGATTGTAATAATGATCAAATGAGATATTGTCTCTAAAGGTGAACTGAAGTTATAAAGAAACAATTAGGTTTATTTGTCAATTGAAAAATTAAATTAAATTTTTTATTTGTCAATTAAAATATTAAATTCTTATGCAGTTAGTCGTAAGAAGTTTTTTTTAATATTTGAGATTAATATAATGAATTAAGCTATATATTAAATATATTTTCCTAAGTAATACATTAGTAGTAATTAGAGGTTCAATATCTCATATATTTAATATTTTAAATGCACATGTTTGATATTTAACAGTTTTATGATTTCTATTAGTCATTAAACTTAAAGAAATTTCAATTTTTAGTGGGGAAGCCTATAACAATTTTCAGGTAAAACCTAGTGTTTGGGGAAGTCTCCATTTATAACACTCTCCAGCCTTTTTTAAGATGTGTAAATTAGTATTAAGAACAAACCAAAGCCTTGTTTCATGATTGCTCAATAAACTGTGATTTCTAACTCTTTCTCCCACCTCCCCCCAAATTTTTTTGTCTATATCATGCATTATTTTACTTGGCATAAACAAGACCCTTACTAAACATAATGAGAATTCTGATTCCTTCTGCTAATTTTCATATTTTCAGCAACTTTTTTTTTCAGTTTTATTTTTATTTTTATTTATTTATTTTTTTAAATTTTATTTTGTCGATATACAATGTGGTTGATTATTGTGGCCCATTACCGAAACCTCCCTCCCTCCTCCCTCTCCCCCTCCCACCCAACAATGTCCTTTCTGTATGCTTGTCATGTCAACTTCAAGGAATTGGAATTGTTATGCCTTCTTCTCCTCCCCCCCCCAGTTTTGTGTGTGTGTGTGTGTGTATGTGTGTGAATTTATTTATTTATTTTTATCTCCCACCAATAAGTGAGGACATGTGGTATTTCTCTTTCTGTGCCTGACTCGCTTCACTTAATATAATTCTCTCAAGGTCCATCCATGTTGTTGCAAATGGCAGTATTTCATTCTTTTTTATAGCTGAGTAGTATTCCATTGTGTAGAATTTGCACAGTGTAGTTTTGATTTGCCTTTCCTGGATGCTGAGTGATATTGAGCATTTTTTCATATGTCTGTTGGCCATTTGTATATCTTCCTTAGAGAAATGCCTACTTAGCTCTTTTGCTCATTTTTTTACGTAATAACTTCGTATAGCATACATTATACTGTGCTCACCCCCTTTCCTGCCTTCTGGAATGCCCAGCCCCAGAGCCACCTCCCATGGTCCTCCAGCCCTGCATCTTCCCTGATGTAAAACATCCACTTGGCATCTGCTCACACGTCACCTTGTTTTGTTCTTTGTCATCATGTGTGTGGGGGTGTGTAAATTTTCTATTTTACTTATGATTCCTAAAAATCAAGGATTGTATTTTCCCCAAAATTTGATGGCACAAAACATATGCTGGGTGTTCAACTGAGAGACTGAATGAGTAAGTCACAAGCCTCTGTCGTCACCACCATCATCAACATCACTGCCCTCACTTCGCCACCATCAACTACCCCTGCAGGTGGAAAGGCACGAACGTTACCATTCTTACCAGCTTTGTCACAAATGCCACCATCACCATCCTCAGCAATGGCAACAGCCCTGAAGTCATCCCCACAAAGCTGTCATCATCATATTCTCATTCCACACACGTTTACTCAGAACCTCACGGGGGCCTGCACTGTGCTGAGTTTTCCACGCAGCCTCTCACTTAATTCTCACCACAACCCTAGGCCCCTATGGAGCAGGTACCCTTATTGTACCCACTTTACAGAGGAAACTGAGACACTGAAGGGTTTCTGGAATCCCTAAAGTAACAGAGGCAGGAGAGGAACCCAGGTTAGTCTGACTCCAAAGTCCATCCTCTTTCTATTTTTTTCCGGTGGCCAGCCAGTCCAGGGACCCGAACCCGTGACCTTGGTGTTACCAGCACCATGATCTCCCAAGTCAAAGTCCATCTCCTTAGACAGGCTTTATACCAACACTTCAAGCCACAGCAACATTGCTCTTATCTTCACAACCAAAGAAGTAATTTCACATTATCAACATTGCTCTTATCTTCACAACCGGCATCAGTATTATCACATTATCGTTACTGCCACCTCTGCTTGGTCTTTTGTTATTCCATATAAATGTCTGGATAGTTCTTTCCATTTCTGAGAAAATGTCATTGGAATTTTGATGGGGATTGCATTGAATTTGTATATCACTTTGGGTAGTATGGACATTTTCACTATGTTGATTCTTCCAATCCAAGAGCATGGGATATCTTTCCATCTTCTTGTATCCTCTCTAAGCCCTTGAAATGACTGACAAGGAATTTCGAGTGAAAATTCTAAGGAAACTGAATGAGATACAAGAAAATTCAGCTAGACATTATTTTCAGCAACTTGTGTTACTTCCTGATCTTTTTTTTTCTTTAGAGACCTGGGCTATTCATTTGAATGGCCTTGAAATTCTACCACTTTTTCATCATGGAGATCAAAATTACATAAATGTGGTGACTTTCATATTGGCCAATCCTTTATAGTCGTTTAAGACACATTTTAAAACTTCAAGTTTTGTAGTTCAGAAATATAGCCAGCATATAGTCATTGACTTCACTTCCTATAGATCAGACTCAATTTTATATCCAAAACTATGAAATAAAAAATATTAGAATTCTTTATTAGCTAGCAATGGGTAAATTCTCCATTCTGCTCATGAGAGCAAGTAACCCAAAAGTACTAGATACAAAGGAATTTTAAATTTCAAACTAAAATTAAAATTTGACCTTATTATCATGCATTTCATGTTTTATAAGAGCAGATCTTCAACTTGCTTAAATATTAATGTAAATGTTATTAATGTAATATTAAGTACCCTTAAATTTCAGTTTGTTTGTTTGTTTGTTTTTCATGTAAAAGCCATTGTGCTAAGCACTGTGAGAAATACAGAATTTCAAAATTGGCCTGATTTTCAAGAATTGACAATCCGGTTAGCCACAGACATGAAAAGTTAATAAGCATGGCAAGGTAATAAATGCCAAGGTCCAACAGAACGATGATACACACAGTGTAAGAGTTCAGAGAAGGGATAGAGTATCCCCAGGATACTCTGATAAGAGGGAATATCAAGAAGAGAGGATCGACCTTGGATCTGATGGTGGGTTTATTGACTCTTTCTTGCATAAACTATCCATAATCCCTTATTTATGATTTCCAGTTAATACTTGTTGGAGTGAAGCATGAAATTAAGGATATTTGTGAATCAATCATAGGGCTGAATATTTCTTGATTATGATTTTCCTCAACCTTTTGTAATTGCTTCAGCCACGTTTAATTTCATAGTTTTCAGAAGACTCCTTTATAAAGTCTTACCAAAGCACTTACTGCAGTTTTATAGAAACAATTCTCTGGCTTTCCTCACTCAGATTTCAATCTGGTGTTTATCTGCATAACATCATATCAAGTACAATGGCGTAAACAGGTTTGGGAGCAAACACAGCTCACCTGGTGAGAGCAGACATGCATGGCACACTAGCAAGAGCTACTAGCCATGAACTCTGAGTGTGCAGTGGACCTCAGTCAGTGTGTTATATAGGAAAAGAGAACATCAGTTAATCCAGTTAGTCTGTTAATTAGATATGTTCAAGAGAGTTTCTAGAATTTTGGTAGTGTAGGTCTTCCTTAAGGAAACAAAGAGTGGGATAGAAGGGCATGCAGGCATAGAAAATAACACATTCAAAGGCACAGAGCCATGAGCAAATATGGCCCTCTGGTATAATTTTCAATAACTTTAATGACTGGAGCTCAGAGTGCCATGGAAAACAGCAAAAGGTGAAGATGGACAGGCAGGGAGGGATGTAGAGCAGGAGGGAGCTTTTCATGCTAGCCATCATATGTGGCAAACAATTCTAAACGAATGCTTTCAGCCACTGTGCCCTTTCCATTTCCTACATTCCCACTGCTCCCAGGCTCACATATTTATGTTACCTGCTCAGCCTTTGAAAGCACCTGATTTTGCCATCCAAGCTTAGTACCTCGGAAATTTCTGGAGACTTTCAAGTCAATGCATGATAATTCAGACAGAGCTGTGAAAGTTGGCTGTTGCAAGGGGGGAGTGAAGATGGACATGACCAGTTGGGAGGCAATTGCAGGAGTCTAGGTGAGAAGTGATGAAAGGTAGGTTTAAGATAATGGTAATAGGAATCAAGAGAAAGAAGTAGCTTCTGTGATGAACTGTGAAATCCTGGCTGAATCTGGAAGGCAGCAAAGCCAGAAGATGATTGATAGACAGAGTCCAAGAGCAAGTCTGGTCCTGAAGTGAGTGGACCTGAAGGATGAGGGTAGGCACACGGGCACTCCCTGAGGGCACAAACAGGAAAAGCTGTGGTCATCACTTCATTCTAGACTATTCTAGACCAGGATTATCCAAAGAGCCTAACAGAAGTTGGTTCATCTGCAGATTTTATGGGGTGAAACTAGGTGGAGCTCAAATATATATTTTGTAGGGGTTCAATCTTCAGGCTTATTTTTTAAATAAGGAAATTGCTACTTAAAGAAGTTCCGTGATGTGTCCAAGCTTACACAAATAAGGAGTAAATGTTAGAACTCAATCTCCTTACTCTCAGTACAGCACTTTTCCTCATGCTACCTTAGTCTCGTACACATCCTACGTATCATGGCCTTTCCTTTGAAATTAGAAACCTACCAAAATTGCTGGACTTTCAGATTAATCTTGCACCAGGAAATTAAATAAAAATAAAGGAGTATTGAAAACTTTAGAAATCTACCTTTTTGCACAAGATTGTTGACCAGTTTTAACTGTTTTTTCTTCCTTTAATTCACCCCCTTCACCAGTAAACTTTGTGGTTCACCCTGAGGACCTTATGACCTCTTGTAGTTTTTCCCCTTACTCCTTTCCTCCCCACAATTATTGATGGATTAAGCCAATAGAGGAAATGTCCCGCAAGAAACATAGTGTAACTCAAGCTAAAACAATGATTGATAGAGGCGAGCATGTTGGGTAGAATTAAGCTCCCTTGCCTAATTTTAAGATTAGCTCCCAGTGTTTTTGTGAAGGTGAAAGAAGCTTTCCCTGTGCTTCCTGCCACTGCAGTCTTTCTGCTTTTTGTGCCCAGAGAAAGGGTGCTTTATTTTAAAAAACCCATCTAATTTTATTTTCTGCGTGACAGAGTTTTTGTAGGGGATTTCAGTGTTAAGTGTTAAAAAGCAATCACAAAAATGGAAAAAAAAAACTCTTGGATTTATACAAATAGTCTGACCTGGTTTTATATCGGTCTGGAATTCAGTCTACTCCAGAGTTGTTTTGAGAATGCGTGAAGGATTCTCCAGCATTGTCTGGGAGTCTCTTCCCCTCCCCTGCGTGAAGCTGTCTAGTGGCCACCAGGCTACTGAGATGTTGGACCTTGGTACAATACTAACCAGCCCTTTTTCTCATTTTAAGGTACTATGTTCTCTGCTACAAGTCCAGCGAAGAACCCCCAGTGAGTCCTGACACCTGTGCCACCATTTTGGAAAAAGCTGGTCTTGATAACTGGGCTCTTGGAAAAACAAAAGTAATATTTTCATGTGATTTTCATGAAAAAATGAACAATTATGTTGCATTTTCTGAGAATTATAATATTTTACAATGATTGAAAATATAGCTTTGCATGTTACAGAATCACAAGCTTAAAATAGGGAAAGTAAATTTATAAATTCATAAAGGTTTCCTTCATCAAAATTTAACATTTTTGTTCTTCATAAAGGTTTCTTTTAAGAAATACAAGAAAAACTTATCTCAAAGATTTATCAAAAACAGGATGAAACTTATAATGAATATATTTCACTTCAAATGAGTTTGAAAACAGACTGAAATATTTTCTATTTTATCACCACCAAATACTCATATAGTCAAAAAGCTGTAAAGAATCATAATGATCTAAATAAGATTACTGTCTTTCTTTTTTTCTTAACTCTCAAATCTGCTACTGTCATAAACTTGAAATTTTTCTAGAGTAAAATGATCACCATTGTTACTAGACTTGTTATATGTGTTTAGATATTGGTGTGTTTATATATTAGCTTTGAGAACTTGTGATATCTTAGCTTATTTAATCCCTTAGAGAACAAAGTAAAAAATCATGACCAATCTTGAATATGGAAGTAAGGGGTGTGGCTGATTGTAGAAATGCTTCTCAGATATTCTCATAGCATTACAAGATGGGGCTAAGGAAATAAACAGGGAACTAGTGCACACTAAGTGTAACTTAGGGGCATACTAAATGTACCACTGGGGGAGTGTGGGGCAAAGAGCCAAGCTAAAGAAATACTCAGACATGGACCACTCAAGAGCAACTATTACCAGCCACACCACAGAAGTAACCAAAAAAAATTTCCACATTTGCAAATAAATTTACTCACATGTTAGTTGTGTCTTGGGGGTGGGAAGTATGGGAGAGAATTTTCATAATGTTCAGATGAGGAGTTAGTCCTGTAGCAATTTAAGGAATTAATTTTTAAAAATCTTTCTTAGACTGAGTGTCCCACATATTCAGTAATCCATATTTACTTTAGTATTTATTAGGAGGAAGTTCTGGGCATTAAAAAAATGTGTATTTTATTCACATCATCAGTGTTCTTTCGGACACTCACAAAGATTAATTTCGTCAGACTGAAAGCTCGTGATTTACTGTCTGAAACACATGCCTAACCTCAAATGTAGTTTTAACATGTAAAAAGGCCCTTTGCAGTTCCAGTTCTGCATGATATTTAAGTAGCCTTTTAAAGCTATTTGTATTTTTCCACTTCACCTTTTCCAACTCATTAACATGGATAAAAGTATTTAATAAGAAACATTTCTAATGCTATGCAAAAAAAAAATGATGACCTTTTTAAACAGATTGAATTTTAAATGAATTGTCAACAGCAGAATGGACTAAATATATTAACATCTAGAGTCCTGTAGAAATTAAAACTGAATTAAATCAAAACCTATAATGCTAAACTGTTTGCCTCTGGTGCCAAGCTTTCAAGTAATGGAACGCTGAGAGAATGCCAGTCAGGGTTACCAGGTCTCAAGAGTCAGCTGTAAGTGACTTTCTTGATGGATTAAATAAACTCTTTGAAGTGATTTTTATTAGTAAAGTGCCATTAGAAGAAAAAGAAAATCACTTCCCATTTCCTTTGCAGGGTGGAGGTAGAGCTGAAACTTTTAGATGAGAACAGCACCTCAGGCCTTCAGACTCCTCCCTTGCTCTGATTCAGGTTGATTTTAGAAGCTCAGAAGTCAGCCCTTCTTTCTCTGTGGCAGCCTTTGGGTCTAGTGAGAACGTTGTTAATTAAATCTGCCTGGGGCCTTTTCTCTGTCTTATTTGGTCTACTGATGACACTGTGAGCCTCCAAAGGCCAGTGTCTTAAAAATAAATTTGTAAGATTCTTGATTTGGAGAAATATAATTATCTTTAAAAAATAAAAAGCATAAAAATTAGCTAAGCCCAGAATATACATTGCTAAAACTTTGCCAAAGACCTCAACATCTCCACTCTTATTGGTTCATCCAACAAACCCTGAAGTTACCTGTTGTAAATACACAGTATGATTGCCATCTTCTGCTTTCCTTCTCAAGGAAAGGTTTTCTTCAAGCATAAAAATCTATACTTGTCACAACGACATCCAGGCCAAAGAAGCAAAAGATAGTGATTTCCAAAATCTAAAAAGATTTAGAATACAGTATATTCTTCAAAGCGTTGCACATGGCTGCTTCACATCTATGTACCATGGTTTTATTTGTATTTTATTTTACCTCTTTTTAAGGTGTTCCTTAAATATTATCATGTGGAACAGTTAAATCTAATGCGAAAGGAAGCCATTGACAAGCTTATTTTGATTCAAGCCTGTGTCAGAGCATTCTTGGGTTCAAGAAGATACCAAAAAATACAGGAAAAAAGGAAAGAAAGCGCTATAATAATACAGTCAGGTAATCACTCAGACCATCTCACGGTGTAACAAAGCATAATGTTATATTTAGATATGGGCATAAAATCAAATCCTATAGTACTTCTTATATACAAACCTCCAATTTTTATGTAGCTTTTGTGTTTAATTCCAGACTGTGTTGCCTTGAAATGTTCCCTATATTAAATCTAAATCAGATTGTTATGAGGATTGACACTTTTAATATTTGAATAAATGTTTTGTTTTAACTAAAATAATTTAATTTTTAAATTTTCTGTCAAGGATTAATGAAACACAGTTGACTTATTGTGCAAGATATGGCAAGTGATTGAATTAATTATAGATCTCAAGAATCATAATATTATAACTCATTGGACAATAAGATTTTTCTACTTTATTCCAAAGGTTACACTTGCCATAATATTTGACAACTTAGTTAAATCTTATTTTGTTAAAGGGCATTCATTTCTTTGTATTAACTGTAGGAAAATAATATTTATAACCCTACTTTATAATTTTTTATTAAAATGTACTAATAGATTTTGAATTTTGCTTTCTACTTTTCCACAAGAAACTAAGTTTAGATAGAACCAAGTATGTGTTTGTTCTATCTACATTTTTTGACTGGACACCCATAGTAAAACAATGTATTGTAACTTGATACATACACATACTACAAGCAATGCACTCTTATATTTTCTATTCTAGTCTATTCAGTCTCATTTTTAGATCCTAGATTTGGCCCATTGAATCAAATTTTATAATCAACTAGTGTTTCTCAGCCTGCCTTCTGAATAATGCTGACATGGTGAGCAGAATAGCTGACTGACTAACATTAAAGACATTCACCTTCCAGTCCCAGTTCTGTCAATCAGTAGTGGGTCGGCAACATCTCTTTTGGAATTTTAAGCCCTTCACTTCTCACTAAGACATCAAGATGCAATTCCTGTAATTTGGGGTCAAATCCTTTATCCAAACTTCTAGAATTTATAAAGCTCTGAAAAAACATTTTTCATAACTCATTTGCCATGAAAAATGTCCTAATATGAAGTAAGTAACTTACAGTCCTTTATTTATTCCACTAAGTAAACATATTCTGTTTTTCTGAATACATATTTATATGTTTGATTATGGGAAGTTCCCTGACATGGGGAATGTTACAGAATATATATTTGTTCTGTTACCTTTCTAAAATAAAAAAGAAATTTAATATGAATACTGAAATATATCTGGCCCCATAGATAATTGGCAAAAATATCCAAAACATATACTTAGATTAAAAGGACTTTCTTCCATGAAGAGCTGGACATGGCAAACATAAAAGGAAAATAATTATTAGCAAATTTCAAGCAAATAGGTACACTTTGTCATCAACTTTGCTCATCTCTATCATTTTAGTTTGAGTTTTATGCTCTCCTTAATATGAAAGATACTTTAATTATTCTTTTGATATAGCTTGTCAGCTAGAAAAGTCTTAATCCCAATTTTTTTATGAACCTGTTCTATTTGGCATCTTTAATTTTATTTTTCTCCTTGAGGTTGGTGGTCTAAACACTTATTTCTATGTATTTAAGTAATATTCTTTTATTTCTTATAATTAACACTACTCTGGGCCTTGTATATTTCAGCTGCAAGAGGATATCTAGTCAGAAAACAAAGAAAAGAAATTGTTAACAGGAAAAGCACACCAGTAACAACCATTCAGGCTCATGATCAGGAATTTGACTATAAGAAAAACTTTGAAAATGAAAGGTATAATGATTTCATTCTTAATCCATTGTGACATATAGATTTTTCAAATCTGTAAGGTCATAGAATAATATTCACAGTATTCTTGGCACCAAACCAGGTTCGTGATACTGATGCATCAAATGTCAGTGAATACCCAGGGGCCACTTTTGTGCTCTTTATCCAATTTAGGAGTTTTTTGGCATCTCACACTGATGACCACACTTTCCTCCTTCAAGTTTTTCTCCTTGGCTTCAACCAGACTGATCTCTACAATTCTGCTCCTAATTATGAGTGTCCTTTGCCAATACCTCCTCTCCAACTTTAAGTCCTCCATGTCTAAAAAATGTTTTCGGGCCCTCTCCTTCATTCCCATGGCTTTAATAGCCAGTATAACATTGGCCCCTAAGTTGTAATCATCAGCTCCCTTTCTTCTTCTCAAACTTCATGTCTATATTTCCAAGTGCATATTAGCAGATCCACCTGAATTTACTTATTCATCAGGCTTTTTTGCTAGGTAGTGGGGACAGATAAATAAATGAAACAAAGTCCTCATCCTCATCACAGCATCACGGAAAAGAAACATGCCAATAAATACATGATTCTACTAAAATGAGTTAACTCTGCTATAGAAAATATGCAAAGGGGCGGTGCGGGCAGGGAGGGGGGACCCTGCCTTGGTTGGTAGGGATTAGGGAAAGGGAAAAATATCTAGATATTGGTGAAACTTGAATTGATTTAAAGATGGGCAAGTGGTTGTCCAGGGAGATAAAGATCATTCCAGCCTCAACCTCAGATCCCTTGTCTTTGACATTAGAACTGACCATGGAAAGGGTGAGAGAATGGGATAGAAGAAGAGACGGTGTCCTTCTCTCCCCAACCACCCGCATCTGCTGTCCACTTCCCCATCCACTGCTGTTCCCGCATGCCAACAGTGGTCTCATTGCTGGTCTCAGAGCTGGCTTCTTTGCCATTCCTTCCCTCACCACACTCTCTCTGTACCACCTAGGCCAACTTTATTTCCACATTTGACAAACATGAATGTTTATCTGAAATACAGAGGCATTTGGTGTTTTCAGTTCTTTGTGTATTCAAACACCTACATATATGGTCTTTGTGTTTGCCTGCAAGGATCCAGATGACTTCTATCTCTTTGTTACTAGTTGTAAAACAGTCCAGCAACTTCAAAAAGACCACATACCTGCCTCAGGAGCAGCAGGGTGGATGTTACTGTGTCTCCTGTACTTCAGGAATCTGAGAGTTATAAGTGGAAGAAAGATGGACAAATTTTACTGCTTCTAGAAATTACTATGTGTTGATATTACATTTAATAAAGAAGTCTGGTGTTCAATTAGATACTAATTTGCTGCACCTTTTTTCTGAGAATGCCAAGCATTAGCTTTCAATTTAGCAGAGACTTATTAATCTGCCACAGACAAGATCCACTTCAGGACACACGAATGTGAATAAGAAATTGTCCCTACATGGTCTGGGATGGAGAATATGACATTTATTGGGCTAACTGTAGTAGAAGGTGGACTACAAAGTCAGATGTAAAAGTACAAGCAGAGAGTGAAGGGATGCTCAGAAGGAGAAAGGAAACAAGAGGCAGGAGGGCTGACCACATCCCTTCCAGAGATCTTCAGGCTGGAGCCTCCAGCCCTCCACAGCTTCTGACTTTCCTTTTCCCCCAGCTACCTGCAGCCCTTGTTTTCACTTTACCCTTCACTGATAGGGCCCCTCACCTGTGACCTAGAAAATCAGTTAGGAGCTGGAGAAAGGCCCAGCCCTGCAAGCCTCTCCAGCAGATGTCGGGAGGGTCCTCCAGTCCTTCACAGACTAGAACTCTGAAAGGTCAATCCAGAGAAGCATCATTGCACATGGTGCTTAGGTCCTCCAAGTGTTGTGTTAGCCTCGGTCACAGGGTGGAGTGTCCTGTAGCATTAATCTAGACATAAAACTAACATGGGATGGACTAGGGAACTTCAGCAGTATGCACAAGGTTTCACCAGTAAAATGCTAACTTATGAATAGATTTTTTGGAATGCAGGCAGTTAGAGACAGCATTCTTATATTCTCTCAGTTGTATTTGGATTAAATATAAACATTCTCTGGGGGGCATTATGAAGGTATTCAAAATACTAGCATAGCCACTCCTCAAAATTATGAGGATTCTTGGCTCCCTGCCTAGTTTTCTGACTGATCCTGACAGGATTCTGTTATGCTTACTGTATAAGCCTGGGATGCCAGAGTAGACCTGGAAGTGGCCAGTAGAATTAAGAAAATAGAGTCCCAGTAGTTTTTTCTAGGTTTGACTCAAAGAAGAGTGTTTCTTCACGAATAGATTGCAGAAGAACAAAACTCTCACGTGGGTTCCTGGGTCAAGATGAAAAGTTTTAGGCAAAAGCCCCCCAACTAGTAGTAAGAGATGTTAGCATTTCAGGGTGTCAGGTTTGACTTTTTGACTTCATCTTAACACCTTTTAAACTGTGTTGCTCTTGAGAGGGTTTTGCTGTTGGATAAAAATATCTATAGAAGACCTTATCTTCAAGTTAAAGGGAAATCATTTTGGAAGATATAGGCAAAGTAATAACTGTGAAATTTTGGGCAACATATTTCATGATTATGAACTGTGGTGAGGACATTGCTTTTCCTTTAATTTTGCAAGGTTTTCCTGTGATTAATAAACTGAGTGTTTATTAAAGTACATACATCAGACTAGTAAACATACCCTGCTCACTGGTCTCAAAATTAGGTGTATTTCCCACAGTATCACATCACTGTAGGTACTTTGCTTTGAAAAGGACATATTTTTAAGAGATTTTATTCCTAGAATTTTGATACCTTATTAAATTAAAATATTGTTCTTTGTATGCTGGGATATTTCTCACTCTAAGTTGAAATTGGTTTTCTCATTATTTGAATAGCCATCACAGTTGCCACTAGAAAGAACATTTTCTGAAGCACTTGATTAATGTGACTTGATAAGTTTTTATTTTGAGCTTTTTTTATTCCTTTTGCTTTTCTCTCAAAATTATGTAGCATGTGGCTACTGCTGAAAGAAACAATAAGATCTAGTTTAGTATCGTGTATTCAGATATAATGTTTTACACAGGGAATCTTTTATGAAGAAACAAACAGAAAATGCTGTCTCTGATAACGAAATAGTCATTCCAGCTCCAAATAATAACGGAAATACATCTGCAGTGAAGACTTCTACTTTCAGAGCTGAAGAGGAAGCCACAAATGCTGTTGAGAGTAACAACAGAGAATATCAAACTCAGAAAAAAATGAATAATGTGTATGGGGAAGAGGCTAAGCAAGAACTGGATCTCATGGGGGACCCTTGGGCAGAAGCAAGACCCAAACAGAAGTTTAACAAAGACCTCCAAGAGAACAGTAAGACAAAGAAAACAGAACAGGAGGATGCCGTGATCCAGAGTTACTATCAGAGATACACAGAAGAAAGGAATTTTGAAGGTTCAAAGACAGCATATCTAGAAAGGAAGGGCATATCAGAAAGGCCAAGCTACCCAGGGCTTTGCTTGGCCAAGAATGAGACTTCTTTAAAAAAAACTCTGGAACCTCGTCTTAGCCAAAGGTCAGTTTATCAAAATGCAAATAGCAAGAAAAAAGGAAAAAAAACATCTGTAGTTACCCAGAATGCATCGATATGCAGCCAGGAGAGAAGCTGCCTGAGGCATGGGACAGTCAAAGAGAGGCAAGTTGAACCAATGATACAGGCCCAGGAAGAAGAAGATAAAGCAGCAGTGTTCATTCAGAGCACATACCGGGGTTACAAGAGAAGGCAGCAACTAAGAAAGGACAAGATGTCTCCTTCTTTTAAGAATCAAAAGATTGTTGCAACACCAACAGAAGTAGCAAGAAACACTCACAGTTTGTATTCCTATCCCACAAAACATGAGGAAACTTTTAACATCAAGATGAAGAATGACAAAGACTCAAAAGCAATTTCAGAAAAAGCAGCATGTGATATGGCAATTTTTTCAAAACAGGTATGTAAATAAATGTACTTACTAGTAAAAATCTCTGGGAACTACACAATAAGTGAATTAAACAAATAATTAATAGCTGTTATTTTGTTTCATCTATGTTTATGACACTGCAAACCTTTTAAATAAAATGTCTTGGAATCCTGCTATCCAAATAGCCATGAAATTTTAAACCAATTTACCTTGATAAAAATAGTATCAAATGTGATAGAAAACTCATGTAGTAAGGCTACTAGAGATTCGTTTATATAGCTTCCTAAAATGCTAAGACTTGATAGTGCAGAGTTTAATGTATCTCTGAGATCTTTTGCTAGAGCTAAAAAAAATTTTTTTTTTACTTTTTCTAAATCTCCTAAAGTCTGTGCTCTCTCCTTGCCTCAAATTTTAGTTTAAAAAACATAATTAGGTATCAAAATTAGCTATGTAGACATACTGGGGCATATATTTGATGAAGATGAAAGTCTGCGTGTTACATCATGACAATGAGCAATTGTGGACAATGAGGAATCATAAAGAAAAACCACAAAGGAAAATTCTCTCTTGGAGACCATTTCATGCTGCTAGTGGGCATGTTTCAGCTGTTTCTAGAGAACAGCACAGGGAGCGATAGGTTTTAGGCTCCTCACAGGTATACGTGGTGTAACTGATAAATTAGTACCATGGACAGATCACAGGAACCAGCTCCTGTAAATGCCAGTTTTAGTTCCTGCTCTTTCTAGGTATTTGACCTTAAGAAAATCACTTTCTATGTCAGCATTTTTATTTTCACCTGTGTAAAGTAAAACGTTTTAACTAGATGACATCTAAAATACATGAATAACCAGGGTAGTGAATGGTACATGAAATAATAGAAGAAATATCATAATGTGTTAATGCAAAGGAGAGTCATCTAAAACCCTTAAGTCTCTAAACTCTGCTTTTTGTCTGATGATGAAAGCATAGTAACTGCCTTTGGACCCCGTCTTAGTGTTACAGGTATGGCCCAGACATCTCCAACTTCTACCTGTCAGTGGAGATCTGGCATTGATTGATTTACCTAGCCCCTTCCCATTTTTTTTTAAGCTCATGGAAATAATGAGTTTAATGTATATGCAGTCCTTCCTTTCCCTGGTGCATAAATTTTCTCACTCTAAAGACCAAATCAGAGATTAGAACCCAGACCTGCTGTGCAACTGAGACATTGAGGAGAGGTAGAATTACCAAGTCATCCACCTAGAGTTGGCTAATCTCATCATGGGAGTAGATTCAGTGCTTCTTGGGGACAAAGCTAGAGGCAGAAAGGCTGGAGACCCACACTCAACTTAGCAGGACAGCCATGTTATCAGAGCTGGGATGCAGACCAGACAGAGGCAAAGGGATAGAGTGGAAAGAGAGGACCCAGAAGACAGTAGCCCTGAAGTCAGGCTAAGACGACTGGAAAGGAAAGGAGGGAGGTTTAACACAATCGAAGGCAGCAGAGGGGTTCCCCAGAATAGAAGCAGAAAGGCAACTGCAGCAGACCGGTGGGAACAGAAGCCGGATCTCAGGAACCCTAGGAAGGAATTGATCCAGATTACAATGTTGCATGAAGTGTGACGTGTTTGAAAGTTTTTACTGAAAAGTGTGAGATGAGCAAGTAGCACAAAAGTGGAGGTTATGTCAAGTGAGGACTTTATTAGACCTTGGAACAATGGTCAGAGTGGGTCCTGGAGAAGAAAAACATGAGAGTCCCAAAGACTGTTGATAAGGAATTTATCAGGCCCCGGTGTACCTATAGAGTTCTCTGAATTCTTTTCCTGGATATAATCTGACACAAGACCTTCTTTTTAGATATCAAAGTTATCTGAAGAATATTTCATTCTGCAGAAAAAATTGAATGAAATGATTGTGTCACAGCAACTGAAGCCACTTTATCTGGGTGTCTATCCCCATAAGCCAGTAACTAGACGGGTTCCTCCTCAGCAATGTCTCTCAGGTAAAGATCAGTAGAATTAGAACTTCCTGACTCTAGGGGGAAAAAAATACCAGATACTTTGTACGTTAATTTCCCACCTTTAGTCTGTGACAGACTCAAGGTGAATGTGTTCTCTCTTGGGAAGAACCCTTGTTTCATTTTATTTCTTATGAGTATAAACACATTTTTTCCAGGATGTTCTACCTACCTCCTACCTTCTCTGACTTCATTCTCTTCCTCTTTTTATTTTTCTTTTTCCCCTTATTATACACTTTAAGTAGAACTTTGCATATGATACCAGGAGAGAATAAAAAGGATGATGTAGAGAGGGGGGCCAAGATATAGATTTGTTAAGAGAGAGCAAACAAATGAAATATTTTTATTTCTTTTGTCAGCATCTACAGCCTTGAGTATAGAGTGCAGAAAGTGAAAATCTCCATTCAGATGTACAAACTCAGATAAACAAGAAATACCGTTGCTAAATATTCTTCTAATCAGCCTCAGTCATACTCTTCCTCTATTGCACTAAACTGGTGGGGAACTCAAGTTCAGTAATCATCAAGCTTCCCCTCCCTGGGGCTGTGCAAAGTATCCACCACTGAAGAATCAGATAGAGCCTGTAGTCACTAGTTATTTTCCCATGAAGTTACTGTTGGGACACTCGTTGTTCTAACTGGCCTCCATGACCCCTTCACGTCTGGAGACTCTTCTGCTTCCATCCCCTGCAGGCGGCCACATTTGACTCCAGTGAGTCTGGAGTCTCACCGTGACAACACACACTCCAGGTAGCTGTCTTCTCTGCAGCCTTGTCACCTCCCGCAGGGGCTGCCACTGAAGGGTTCAGGAGCCCTGCTGACCTCTGCCTGGGAGAATCTGCATTTATTTCAGTGGATGGCCTTCCACTGTCTTCCCATGCACTCCCAGATACCTGGCACCATCTTTGCAATGAGTTAGGTTCTTACTAAAGACATTTGGAGCTGTTGACTTCATGCAGCTTATGATTTCTTACCTGCAAAAATCTCTGAAGCAAAAAAATACTAAGATGAACTTGCCTATTTGCCTGATGTGGGAGAAAGAGAAACTATCTTAATGTTTCAATCGAGTATTCTGCCACCTTGTTTTCAAGTCAAGAATTTTGGTAAAGCTTAAAAAATGGCTGTGCACAAAGTGACTCTTTGGTGCTCACCCCTGCTGCTCTCCTGCTGCCTGGCCCTGGCCCAGAACCTCTCACTGTGAAAAAGAGAGCTTAGCAAGTCAGAGCCAAGAGGCCCAGCAGTTTGGCTGCTGTCAATGGCCTGTGCCCAGAGGACATGCTAACAGGGCCAAAGGCTAGAGCAGAGGGTGGAGGCAGGGGCTTACGTTTCCCCATTGGTTGCATACGTGCAATGTGGTGAGTGTGGGGCAGTGAGGGGCAGGTGGTGTGCAGGAGCAAGGGAGGCCGGGCAGGATCCCTGTGCCAGCAGCTCATTCCAGTATTCCTGGGAAAGGCAAGTGCAGGGAGGAGACAGCATCCGGGGGAGGGAGCAGAGGCTGAGGGTGTGCTGCCGTGACCTTGCTTTTCAAAGTCTCAGGGACTCTGAACAGGCCTGAAAAGCAGCAGAATTTTACTGGAAAGTCAAATTAGTTCACTTTATTTTTCAATCTACCATTGTGTTTTATGGACCTAAGAAGAATATCAGAGGGGCCGGCCCGGTGGCGCACTGCTACAGTGCGCCGCTTGGGAGCGCGGCGGCGCTCCCGCCGAGGGTTCGGATCCCACATACAGACCGGTTCCCGCTCACTGGCTGAGCGAGGTGCGGACGTGCAGCGCCGAGGATTGCGATCCCGTTGCCGGTCCCGGTCCGGTACAGGCACGACACTGAGGGTTGCGATCCGTTGCCGGACACGAAAAAAAAAAAAGACAAAAAAAAAAAAAGGAAGAATATCAGAAATCAATTCTTAGCTTATATGAAAAAGATGGTAACTCAGAAGTATTCCTTTAGCCCTTCTGATTTATAGGGAGAATATTTTTGTTCTCTCCACATATGGAGAGGTTGCTTATTCTACTCCACTTGTTTAAGGCTAAACTGGCAAACATCGGAATTGTCCCATGTCCCCAGGAGTAGCAGAGAAAGTGCCTGAGAGACAGCCTGAAGTGAATCTAAAGACACAGAGGGATCTGGTGGACCTGACAACCCAGAACTCAGGATATGGGAAAAAATAGATAAAAGGCAAGAGTGTGGGTTGGGTTCAGGGTGTGTTAAGTATGAGAAGGCTTTGATGAATTCAGACAACCTCTCGGGTAGGCAGGTGGACACATACATGGTAGCTGAAGCCATGGAGCAGTTAAGATCATCAAGGAAGTCCTACAACGAGAATAGAAGAGAGCCTAGCATGAGCGCTCAAACATGTGTAGGTCAGGTAAACAGGAACCAGTGAAGAGGACCAACCAGAGTGGAGGAAAGCCAGGGAGTCTAGTACCGCAGAAGCCAAGGGAAGAGTGTTTTTAAGAAGATATTGAGCAGAATGATGCTGAGAGAGCAAGCGAGAAGGGAACTATAAATATCTATTGAATTTCTTATTCATTTATAATTACTTACTGTATTCCCCAAAATTTACTTAAATATTAGAATAGACACAGATGGAAAGGAGGGATGCAAATAATCATTGGGCGACTTTGGGGGAGATTCATATTTATATTCAATATTCGTAGATATAATCTATGTTCGTATATTTTAACAATCTATTTTTTTAAATCCTTGAATAGCTTATAAAAGTCCATTATAAAATATAGTTCAAAGAACTCAAACTGAGGTCACAAATTGGGCCAGATATTGCTTGGTCAATATTTAATCTCTGCAATGGATTGAGATTCATTATTGTATCTTTGGTTGTGCTGCTTTACCTCAGGATAGGCAAACACCATCCTAAATTTTACACTATAATTTTCTTTACATAACAGCTTCTCTTTGCCAATCTCCTGAACACATTTAACCTAAGAATTCCCACCCTCTGTTCCTTGTTCCTCCGGTCATAGTGATTTTTACACAGTTATCTTTATACAGTTTACAGATATCACAGAGTAGATTATCAGTAGAGTCTGCATTTACTTATCCTAAAAAGTTATGCATATTAGTTTCATCTTCCTACAATAGATTTTCAACACTTTGCAAGCAGGATCATGTCATGTACTATATAGTCATTTATTTGTCACACAGTAGACATTCAATCACTGCTTATTAATTGTCTGGAAAGCTGCTTAATTTCCTTTAAGCGTTATGGTGGAGAAAAGTATGGTGACTAGGGGAGCAAGAATTTGAAAGTTTGGTTTTTATGAAAACATATTGCAATATTACATTGTTTAAATGTTCATTTATTTTTTATATATTGTCTGCTTTTGAACTCCTCTGGTCAGAAAAGAAGGTCTTACAATGTATTAATATCCTGTCTTCTTAGTTAATCAGAATTGCTAGCCACGGAATTTGGAACCTTGCAGTGCAAACAGCTGCCCTCACCTGCAGAGGAAGAATGCAGGCAGATTTAGCTGATGTGCTGTGGAACCTGTTAACAATACTGCCCCTCATGGCAATCCATACCTCCCCAGGGAAAATTTCATTTGGGAAACCAAAATCAAGCTCATTTACAAATAATTCTGATATTAAAATAGCCTGCAAGCCACCTATTTATTATTTTATGCATTCCAAAAATCTGCAGTCATCTTCAAATAATTGCTACACCCAACTCTGTTTTAAAAACTCAGTAATCCTTAGCTGGATTACATACAGTGGCCTGGAAAAGCTTCTCACTTATTCAGAAAAAAAAAAAAAAAAAAGCCCCCTAGAAAACATGGATAACAAATGAGAATAATTAAATTTTTCAAATGATCTTAACAAAGTGTAACTTTATTTTATAAGGGATTCTTTCTGTGAGACATATTTTTAAATGGCAGAAATATCAAGAATAAAATAATGTCTGCATGAAAGCTAAGAAGCTAATTATGAAGTTTAAAAATAAAATAAGATAAATATATGAACTACTTTTTATCTATTTGTTTAGATAATAATTGTTATAAATTAAAACCGATATGAGCTAACTGCACCTGCATTTTCTTTGAGAGAAATACAATATAGGATATATATAATTAAGGCATGGCTGTTTGATCACAGATACTAATAAATGCTGTTGTATTTTAGGTATACAATGACATCACCTGCATTGCATTATTTCTCCCTGCAGAGTGCTCCATTTGGGGGATGTTTTTCTTCTTAATTCTGGTACACCTGGCAATTTGTGTTGACCATTGTGAAGAGGAAAAAAAGAAAGATTAATTACAGTACAAATAATCCGTGGTAATATGGAAGCATGTTCTCTTTCTCCATTTACAAATAAGCTATAACTATCAAACAGGCTGTAATTTTTTAATGGGTTTCAAGGTTAACAAATAAGGATGCTGCTGTATTTCCCATGCTTCATTTACATAATATCATCAGTAAGATCAACAATAAATCAAATCAGTCTCTTTCCATGCATACATACAGTTGATCTATGAAAATGCTTTTGTGTTGCTTTCAGAGTAAATGTCAGAAAAAAAATTTGCAATTTTCTATTTATTTAGAAATGTTTACGTCATTTAGATTAATACAATAACCCTGATATTCTCGGTTATTATGGTGCAAATTTGATGCACTTTAGTTTTTAGGTATCCCTATCATTTTACCATTGTAATTTGGGCACCTAGAAATGTGTTTTACAAACTATCCAATACATCTCCACATGTATCTATAAACACACTTACATTCATGTGAAGGCCAGATCATTCAAATAATGTTGGGTTATATGTTTTATAGAAATATGTTTTCTTTTTTTTTTTTTTTTTTTTTTTTTTTTTTTTTTTTT